GGTAACACATTTCTAATAAAATAAAATTATTTTATTTTGGTGTGATCGTAGAAAAAATATTGTGTGTAATTCGAGCGGAAAGTCCTTTGGCAGTTTCGACAACTTTCTGTCTCAACTGCCAAAGTGTTACTTTCTGCTCTTAATACACAAATAGCTATTTTCTTACAATAATTTTATAAACTGTTACATAACTACTAGCTATATACTGATATAGTACTTTGTGCAACAAGAGTGGATATGATGGCCATATCGCACGAAGACGAAATTTGAGCACGACGACGTAGGCGGAGTGCTCAATTGTCTGAGTCGATGTGGAGAATCCACTCGAGTTGTACAGTATATTTTTTCTACGATCCACTAACGAAAATTTACAAATAAAAAAATATTTTAGTTTATTAAGACAAAATAACTAATTTTAATATAATTTATGACTCCTAATAGTTTTTAAAATAAAATAAACGAAAAAAAAAAGTTCATTTTATTTTTCCCCATCCAAGAATCGAACTCTATTCTTCCGCGTGGAAGGCCAGAACGCTGACCATAGGACCACGTATTCTTTTATTTTTGTTGCTGTAATATTCATAATTAAATTGATTTAATATAGTTTTATTTAAATTAACAAATTATTTTTAATTATAGACGAAATAAAAACAGAAATGCTATTATTTATCGATTCTACACAGGAATAACCCATTTTAATGTATGTTTAATCTCAATAACTAAAAAATATACTGACAATTAGTTTGACAGAATTGTCACTTATTTAAAATTTTAAACAAATAATAGCAGTCGGTTGATCAAAATATGAACGGTGATTGATGGATTTCATTTTTTTGCAGTGTTCTTACTACTTAGAATGGATATGAAATACACTGCTCAACAATTGAAGTGGATATTTCAAAAATTTTTAAATATTTTGATGTCCCTAATTTTTTTGCAACTTATAAGCCAATTGTACTGTCTGAGAATGCTGTTGACCAGTTCAATTGTCGGCTATAAATAGTATACACTGCGATTAATTTTAATTTATGACAATCGGAATAATCCAGTTCAATTGTTGAGCAGTATATATTCGTTCAATTGAAGACAATAGCATACTTTTTCGTTTTGTAATCTGTGCGTAGATAAGCTAATATCCATGTGGGTGTAGAAAAATTTTTCATCTTTTAACAGTTACCAAAATTAAGTACTACAATAAAAATATTTAAGTCCGGCCCAGAACATCTCCCTCCTCATTTCACCCAGTTTTCGGTTTTGGCAAAATTCGCGCACTTCTACCCTTTCTTATCTCTTTGGATAGCACAGACAAATGCGTGGATAGTTATTCATTAATTGTTCAAAACAACGTTTACCTTTCTGTTTTATTATTATTTAATAATAAGTCAGAGAAAGAAAAGATATCTGACAAAAAAATAAATACAGGGTGATTTATTTAACATTTCATCCGATGACGTCTTATATTGATAAATAAGACAGATGACGTAAATCCCCAAGCGTTATGAAATAGTGCATAAAATATACGAAAAAATTTATTCAAGTCAATTTTTAGTACAATCCACATTAGAGTCACAAATCGGGTATCCCGCCAATTTTGCCCAACCCTGTATAAAATTACTAAAAGTAGATTGTTAGTAAAATCGTAAATATACTTCGGGTAAACTCATTTAGGGAGGGAGGGACTAACTTTAAGTTAGTAACTTAGTCCCTCATCTAACTGAGAAAAGTGGCACGTCACGTTTTCTACTTGCTATTTGTAGTTAGGCACTGTATCCCGGTAGTGGGAGCGGTCATGTAACCTGTGAGAACGAGCAGCGTTGTAAAAGGCGACGTCGTTCTCAGATAGGGGATACGTTTCAGCAGATTCAGCTAATTTTGCTAATAGGGAGAAACTTTTCCTGTTTTAACGAATACTTCATAATTTCTAATCCAATTTTTTTATTTCTTTTGTATTCTATGAAAAAATATGGAACTTAATTTAAGCAGACGTATTTGAAGAATAATGCCTTTTAAATATACATAGGTATTAATTTGTCAGGTAAAGTTAGGTAATTTTTAATAATTAGCTATTATATTTTTTTTCTGGTTCAACCGTTTATATTTCTACTAAAACTGTCGTCTGCATGATAATAATTCAATCATTCGTCTTCTTGTAAAATAAAGTAATAATAATAAAATTTATTCATTATTTCATTTCGATTACATACATTGGTAAGAAGTGCAATTTTAGGTTGACGATAAATTGTAACCATGTACACCTAATCTCACTTGAAGCGTATCCAACAAAATAATTACGACTCCTGATATAATCACCAGACATTTTAAACTTTAAAGTAAATGTTAACACCCGCTTTTTTGCAAATTTCAGTCGAAGTTGAACTGCGAAGTGCTGTTCGATGACCTGGCGTTCGAAGTGAGATGGGCAGTCGCCGGAGAGAGCATTGTTTTGCAACTCGTTGCAAAATTGGGTAAGTCTTCTTTAATAAATATTATTTCATTTGGCAATAGTCATTTAGAGGATTGGCACATCCCGTAATGGTCGTTTTTGTCATCATTAATGATATAGTGGGTATTTAACGCCGTAATGCGAAGGGGCAACCGGAGCACATAATCACGCAATAAAGGTCCAAACGTCTTAATTTTGGATACAAGTTAAGTAAGATATTGTACTACAGGGTATTCCATAAGTATTCGGTAAAAATGTAGTATAAAAAAATACGAGTTAAAATTGTCCTATTTCTGACAGCTTCCTACCCAGCTAGCACATGAACATCCTATCTACGTTAATAAGCTGAACTTCCGGGATCTTCAAACTCCTATGTGATGTTCTTTTAATGTGACTCTAACGTCCACAGACCCTCCGAATGTCTGCAACTGCAGAAGTTTTATACCACCTTTCATAGAGTTTACAAAGGTACTAGTAGCTTTAGAGTACTTTCTTCCGAAAGTTGTTCTAAAACGTTTTATGGATGTTGTAATTTTAGTTAGTCATATTAGTATTACATAATTGTTTATATAACGTTGATTAAACATTTAAAATTGAGGTTATAGTAAAACCTCAGGGAAATATGGAAACTTTAGATCAAACAAATCTTTTGTATAAATTTATTATCAAAATGCTGCTGAAATTAAGTACCAATTACCAATATCACAAAACTAGAAGTATAAATAAGATAAGTATAGCACAAAGTAACGCAATTGAACGTATACAATACAGGGTGTTCGATAAGTAGGGTACATAACTTTAGAAGCGTATTCTGGAGCTTAAAATAAAGGTATTTTTGTCATATACACTATGTCTTAAAAATGCTTCGTTACGGAAATACAGGGTGTGAAAGTTTCATAAAAAAAAATACAATTTTTTAAATATTTCCAAAACCACTTGAGATATTTCAATTAAATGTTTGCAGCTTTTGAGAGTTAGCAATGTTGCGTGTTCTACTGTAAATACAGTGGCTTTCGTTTAACCAGTGGCGTGCGGACAAGGTAACTTTCACACCCTGTATTTCCGTAACGAATCATTTTTGAGACATAATGTATATGACAAAAATACCTCTATTTTAGCTCCAGAATACGCTCCTGAAGTTTCGTACCCTATTTATCGAACACCCTGTATAATAAGTTATCTATAAAACACTAAATGATTGCACAAAAGTAGTTAAAGAGTATGATAAATTACCCATATCTAGAAGCGAAAACGGTGAACGATTTTACAAGTGTCACTGCAATTTTAGACGCAGGTCATTTGAAATGTATAGATTTATCGCCGTTTTTTGATATTACGATATTTAATTATTTTATTTTATACATAAAAAATTTTTTTTTTATAGATATGTGTGTATATAGTATATTACATTACAATTATGGAAAGTGACATTTTTCACATATTACACATCGAGGTGGGAAGAGTTTCATTCCTGTCGTGAGATTAGTTAGATCACCGAGACGCGAAGCGTCGAGGTTAGCTATGATCTCGAGACAGGATTGAAACTTCCTACCGAGGTTTGTATACTATTTTATTTACAACCATATTTCGATCAAAGTTAATAAATCTCTGTTTTGTTCTGAACATACCTAAAATATTACATTTAACGACAAATTACCAAGCTCGCAGTTTTCTCAGAATAATCAAGTAGGTAAATATATTGTTACTGTGATTACGGGGTAAACAACTGTCACCAATATAAATAAATGTCAGATAAAGCCGGATATTGAATTCGCGAATAATAAATATCAATAAGTAGTTTGTTATATTTTAGATCATTGTTGTTTTTTATTGTTTGCCATTAAATGGGTATTATAAAATTTGTCAAACAATGTGTTATTTATAAATATAAAAAATATTCATCTAGAATAGATGAAATGAGGGCAAGAAGTGAGGGCGAGAAGTAGAGGTGTGTAATGTGACACTTCCCAACCTTCAATGACGTTAGTAATGACAACATTACATATATGGTTGTAAATAAAATCACTTTCACGGAAGTGATGTACAATATGTTTCCTACGACCACAAAATAATTTTATCAACAAAATGTAAAACTAAAAAATCTGGCTATAAAGTTTCCATAAAGATGTGGCTGGTTTTAGATTTGTATTTTTATATGCCTTATTGAATAGTTTTTAAAGCGTTTTACAGATAGTGTTTTGTCAAAATTAAAAATATTGTGATTCAATTTACAAACAATTTCTTAATAACATTAGGTATAAAAAATATTAGAATATATTAATGTTTTTCATTAGTTTTTAAACAAATAAGTTGAATAACCGTGAACAAAAACGTTTTTGTTAATAATTATTACCCACTTCTCTACTCACAATTTTTTCTGAACAGTTATTAAAATAGTACAATAAATAGCGAAAAAAATAATTGTATGGGTTACATTATGATAAATAACATGTATTTTAAATAAATAAACAAACAACAATAGTCGTATTTTTTTATTTTCAAATTTTTTCAAAATAAAAAAAAAGCTAATTAATCGAGAATTAAACCAGCGTCACGAAATGGTCGAGAAATGTTGAAAAAATTAGACACTATAAGATTTGCGCTATTATGGTTATGTCATTTGACTTATTTGATTAAATATGTATACAAACCAGGAAGAAGCAAACATAATATAGGTAGGTTAAGATTCTTTTATTAATTTGCTAAAAAGAAATAACTAAGATTTAAAAATTAATGTTAACAATTTTATCATCAAATCGATTTTACTATTAAAATAGAAATTAAGACGTCTGAAATATTTGACAGCTTATGCGTAGTAGATTAATATTCGCACACGGGTGAATAGTAGATTTATCCACACGCGTGTGATAAATTCCATAAGACTAAATAGTGTGTGTGATAGGTGTCACTTTCCTAAGTGATCGTAGGAAAATACCTATAGAAGAGGAAAATTATATTTTAATATAAAAAGAGATTTACCTTCCTGAATTATTTATTTAACTATTATCAAGAAAATTTTATGTATAATTAAACATATTCCTAAAATGTTTTTCTTAAATACAATAAAACAGAAAACAAAAAACATAATTAACAACATAGGATCATTTTTAAACCACTATTTATAGTTATAACTCTTTAAAAGTATGGAAAAAGTTATTATTAGTTTTACGAAAAAAACAGTTCTTGATAAATATTCCTGTATCAATAAATAAGATTAAAATTTGTTAAGTATTTATTAGTATAATACAAGGAAAATAAAAAATTATTAATTATGCTTTCAACTTTTTTCAATATAAAGCAAAACATTAATTGAAAATGTTTATAGAAATTAAACGATATAGGTACTAAAGTTTAAATCATTGCACTCAATTTTAGACGAGTTCGTCTTACTTTATTTTAAATAAAACAACCAATGTTAGTGCATTGAATTTTTAGAATTCTACAAATTTGATGCTTGATTGTGGATTTCCAAGTAAAGCAGAACTTTTTATTGTACAACTTTTAACACATTTTTCATATACTGACAACTTGGGTCTACTTTTAAAAGTTTTTTTTTATCTCTCGGCTGCTTCAAGGTCTAGTTTTATAATATTATTTGGGTACTTTTCAAACTAAGAATTTAATTTTTAACTTGTTTGTACCATTGTATATAAAGTTTAATAAGTCTACCATGAAATAATTTAATTGTTATACCCAAGAAGGATTATTGTTAACTGTGGATATTAGTATACCTATTTATACGTCCAGCGATTTAGTCCTCGAGATTACCTATGTAGCATAGCCAAAAAATTTATAAAGGGGGCTTTTCGGTTTTGAAATTAAAACGTATACATACAATACGCATTCATACCTACAATAATATCTACTTATTTTTAATGAGATTGCAATTATTTTAATTTCTGTGTGTTTTAATAGTTTTTAATAATTATACTTACTATCAATTGGGGGGGGGGGTTGTCATCGACCTCCCTTGGCTACGACAATACGTAGTAGAAATAAAATCCTTTTCATCTAAAACACCCAGCAATTCTTAATGCATGATTAACATTATTAGATCAATGTTTTGATTACATAACATCTCGGTCGACTTTACCTTACTTGAAGGGTAACTTGAAACAAGCGATCAAGTGTAATTGTACACCTCATCTAATACCTACATTCACTGGCCCTGACAAATCAATAATAATTTCGATGTCAGTCACCCGAAGTTCTACATTTCGTTAAAGTTCAAGGGGAAGCATCCGCCGCTCCTGATTTTTTTTCGTATAATTTATGATTCTCGATGCCACGGACGACACTCGATATCATAATTTAAATAATCGAGTAATTGAAGCTTGACCCGTTTTTAGAACCTTAAAGACTAGATGATTCGCTTTGTTAAAGCGTCATTATTTCTTTGCAATATCAATAATAATATGAGCGTTTATTAGAGTTTGTCGTTGTGGGTGTTTAAGGTCAATTTTTCGAATTTACATTTTTTTAAGTGCCACATATTTTTCATGCCATATTTATTTATTTGGAAACTAAAAGATTACAGGTTCCATGTAATTTTGTAATTTGTGTAACTCTTAAATTCCCCACCAATACCAAGGAAGTTTTCTTCACTCGTTTCATTTTCACTTTTATTTTCTAAATATTTATTCTGTCACCACTGTAACACTGTTAGCCTATCACTACACTGACACACGTCACTTGTCATTGATGTTTCTGATGTCAACGAAAATGTCTTCAATTGTTTTAAAAAAGGTTGGTAGCTGTGTAGAATGCACCTGATAAGATATATGCTGAAAGGGGGAAATATATAGAATTCGAAGGAAGCTGTTCAGATTTGAACATTTTTCTTTACATTCACATACTAAATTAACATCCTGTATATGAAATAAATTCTATTTAATTAAAATGTTTATTTTCATATGCAGGTACTATAAACTATTCTAATTTCATTTCAAGTTCAATGTATATCGTAATAACAAAAATGCTGAATTGTTATTTTAAAATTCGAATAATAATACTCTTCGACAT